GTGACAGCTCCACCCCCGGGCTCCGTTCCATTCTCCCCGCATTGAGTGACAGCTCCACCCCTCGCGCCGGTTCCCGGGCACTTCCTCTCGCGCCTCCCCATCCGCTCACGCTCATTTGCTGCTTTGCAAAGATGGCGTGGAGGTGCACCGTGTCGAATTTGCGAGCGGTGGCTTCTCTCTGCTTGCACACCCCGGTGCCCTGGCAGCCTTTGCACAGAACGGTACGGATCGTCTGGCCACGGCGGAACCTGAGCGTCGGCCGACCGGCCCTCACCGGTGCGTCTGCCTCTTTCTTTTTGGGGCTGGTGGAGTGTAGTTGGAGGCGTTTAGCGACAGGGCTGCAAAGTTAATTAGAGCACTGGCCGATCGAGCGGAGCAAAGTCAAGACCAGGTTGTGATTGCAACTTAGCTTTGAAGCGTTTTAAAATCTGGAAAAGAAAGTACAGATCTTTATTTGCAAATGCTGGGTCCGGTTATAATGTGTATTATCCTCTCGGTTTGATTTCTTATTTATACTTCATGTGTAATTTGTTGCAGCGTTTTCCTAATTAGAGAGCTGGTGAGAGGTCAGCAGGATTAAGGTGAGCTGACAAGAGAGTCAAATACTTTGTTTTCAGTACAGATTCCAGCATCTATAGTAATTTGTCTCTAGTCAAATACTTGACCAGGATGGGGCTGTTTACAGTTATATTTAAGTTTTTTTTTAAATTTTACAATTAACGTCATTGTGCTTTTTGTATAAACTTTGCTCTCGGTTTTCTGTCGCCTAAGAAAGACGGAAATGCATTTTTGAAAATCAAATATATATTTTGAAGAAGCCTAGCTGTATTACACTTTGAAGGAATGCAACGCACCGCGTTCTTCCAATTGCCCAGGGATCAGAGTACAGGCACCCTTCGGTTTAGATCCCGCTGCAGTTGCAGGGACTGTATTGCTCAGCGTATTTAACAACTCTTTTATCTGTATTATTTGTGATAGCTGTGATATGAGAATTTTGTTTCTAATCCCAGGAATATTTAACAAAAGTTTTTAGATAAGTCTAACCAAAGTACAGAGAAACTTCATTAGCAAATACTTTGTGACTATATAAAGAATTTCATTTTTTTTCTTAAAAGAAGTATAAAATTGCTGGAATCTCTAATTGAACTGTCTCTAAGATCTTCTTGAGCAGTTTCTCTCCACTGAGGCTTACATCTTCTCCAGGATGGGTGCTGCTAATCCAATACTGGATAAGCAAACCCAATCACAGGTTGGACAAGTGGTGTTTCCTGAAGTGCTTTTTTTATTCATTACTGGGATGAGGGTGTTGCTGGCTAGGCAGCATCTATTGCCAATCCCAAATTGCCCAGTGGGCAGTTCAGAGTCAGCCAGCATTGCTGTGGGTCTGGAGTCACGTGTCGGCCAGACCAGGTAAGGATGCTAGTTCCTTCCCTAAAAGACATGAGTGAACCAGATGGGTTTTTCTGACAATTGACAGTAGATTCATGGTCATTGTTAGATTCTTAATTCCAGATTTTTTATTGAATTCAAATTCTACCATCTGCTGTGGCGGGATTTGAACCCGGGTCCCCAGAACATTATCTGTGTCTCGGGATTAACAGTCCAGCAATAATACCACTAGGCCATCACATCCCATGGTGAATAAGATGTTTGGTCTTTCATACACTTCTTCCATTGCTTGTACTTGGCCTCGATCTGAGCCTGTTCAGAGATGCTTGAAATTATTGGCACCTTCGCAGGGTGCTTCTTCTCCATTTTGGATATTCTTGGGCAAGAGAAGGTCAAAGTAGATGTTCAAGGAGGCTTTAAGGGCTTCCTTGTAGTGTTTCCTGTGTTGTCCTGGTAAACACTTGCCATGATGAAACTTGAAGTAAAGAGCTCATTTGTAAGTCTTGTCAGGCAAGCGGACGATGGTGGTCCAGACAAATACAACTGATTGACCAT